TTTTTTTTTAAATTTCTACCCTACTTTTTCTTTCCCCGCTGTTCTTATTTTTTCTTACCGCTTTTTGTTCATTCTCCGAAGCAGCCCCCCCCTCCCCGAGTGCGCGGTTCTTCGCGCGGCCCGTTCCAGCCCTGGGCTATTCTTGCTCCTCGGTCGCGGGGACCCTGCGGTTCGGGGAGCCGTCACCTCCCACTCCCGGTGGCGCCTGAGGCGCGGTGGGTACCCTGAGGCTGGGAATACTCCGTTAGAAAAAGGGGAAAAAAATAAATAAAATTACAAAACTATCGCAAAACAGAACACAAGCCCCCGGGGAACCGCAGAGAGCGGACCGGGCTGGCCGGCAGGAGGACCGTCCGGCTCCTCCAGAGGGCAATGGCGAGCCGGCGCCGCGCCCCGGCGCCGTGCAGCCCCGACGGGCTCGGTCCCGGTGCTGCCCGATGGGCTCCGTCCCGCCCCCCGTTCCCCGGGGAGCCCCCGTGAGCAGTGTCCCGCTGCTCCGGCCATGCCCCGCTCGGTGCAGCGGGGTCTGCGGCCGCTCCCCCCCCCGGCAGCCGCCCCGCTGCMCCCCGGCGCCGCCGGCCGCTCTCCAGAACTGGTCGGGCCGGAGGGGTGAAGTCCCAACTGTGCGTGATTTGCAAATATGAGCCTGAGTAACTTACGATGACTAAATTAAACCCTAAAATAATAATAAAACGCCGGGCTTTATTTTGCCGAACTGGTTTTACCGGTTTTGTGTTATGTTAATTATTAATAACTTTGGCACTAAAAAGCAGAGCGGTTTTTTTTTTTTCCTTTCTGCGCAAAGTCCGTGTCTTGGCAAAGGATGTGCCAGGAACCACCGGTACAAAAAGGATTAGTGTGGGGAGGTGAAGGCTGGTGAAATACAGGACGATGCCCAAAAAGGGAAGGGAGGCACCTTCTCTTTTGGAGGTGCAGGGCTGGGGATCAGCTCAGCCCCCTCGGACCAGGTCCCAGCTGTAGCTCCCACCGAGGGTTTGTGCTCCAAGTGCCTCTGACAGCCACTGTGAGCATCCAAACTGAATGCCAGAGATTTCAGGTCTAAACCTCCTTTCCAGCTCAGTCTCGGGAGGAAGCCCTAATGTAGACATTTGCAGATCGCTGAACATCTCTTCCCCATCAGTTGTTTTTCATTTGTTCTCTTTCGCTGTAAATTTGTTAATTTACAGATCTCCTAATCAAGGCAGCATTTTCCATGACCAAATTTCAAACTCGGGATCACTTGAGGCCAACATTCAAATTAAAATCACATCTCTTATTAGAAATGGAATGCTTCAAAAGCAGATAAGTGATCTGATATCTTTGAAATAAATGCCAGAACTTCACGGGTTCCAGGAAGAGAAGGTTTCGATATTGCCGACTGAAATAATACAGGTTTGCTTTCACAATCTTTCATTAAAATAGACTTGATTGCCATATTTCTGGATAATTCAAGCAGATGCATGTGAGGTATGTGTAAATTCATGTTAAAAAGATGTGGCCCACTTTCATCTGAGTTAGTTTTGGATTGTGTAAATGTTGGCAGGGTGCTTAAAAACTGTTCATTTGCAGGCATTGTTAAGTCCAATGACACCTGCATTTGAACATCCCACATAAAGACCAACTTTTTTTTTTTTTTTTTCACTAATGAAGCACATTAGTGATTTCCTCCCTTAAATGATAAGTACTGTGATTTAATGGTCCTGATAGTGGAAATTAAATGCATTAAGTCTGCAAACGCACACAGCTAATGCTTCCCCAGCCTACACAACAACCTAAATGCTTTTTTCTTAGAACAGATTTATTTTAACATGCCTTCTGCTGTTGCCAGCTGACCATTTCTCCAAGTCTCAGTTTGCTCCAAATTTCCCAATTTTCTCTCAAACTTTCCTTCCACTAAYTCAGAACACAGCATGTTTCTGCGCTGTTCAAAGACAGCTTTAGGGATTGCCTAACCCCGATAGAGAATTGCACAGAATTTGTGTCCTTCTTGCCTTGGGATGTGCAATGACATTTTTCCAGATGATGCTATGCTGGGACAGGACAGAGAGGAGTCTGCTGCAGCCAGACTGCTGTGGCCTTTGTGTGTTTCTCTCCCTCCACAGGTGGAAGGAGGACGTTTCTTCCACATCTACCACATCTCACTGTGGCAGTGGGGTTGCCCTAGGCTTGTCAATGGTGCTGCTCACTCATTTTGGCACAAGAATTATTACCTGATGCAGAAACTTGTATCAGTGGCCAAAGTGCTGGGCAGAGTAGAAATGACCGAGTGAAAGGCCTTAGTGTACATTTGAGTCAGTGCTAAACTAGTCATCTGTGTGTATAAACCACAAAAGACAGAGGAAAGCCAAGGAAGAGTGCAGGTTTCTGGTGCAGAGACAGTCCTCAGGAAATGGCATCACACGTTAAAAAACATTAAGAACATCAACAAGAAGAAAATACAGTGGAGCCGATTGTGCCTGAAACAAAGACCAATCTGTTTATCTTGATATGTTTATTTTAAAGCTTAAGTTTGGAGCTCAGTTTTCAGCAGACTGCCTCTGAGGAGCCACAGCTTGTCCGCTTTGATTTGGTTGTCTGTGGTAGCAGCTGATGGGATCAGGGACTGCAGACTTTGGGAACGTGACTTACGGTGTTGTTGGGGTCAGACAACAAGATGCTTTCCTGGCCTCTTTGGGATTGCAGCAGTGTTATCCCTGCAGCAGGTGGGCTACAGGGCCAGGAGCTGCCTGGGCCTCTGCTCCAGTCCTGGCACAACATAATGAAGGGACAATTTGGAACRAATTGATGATGCTGGTTTACATCCAATAAAATCCCTGTTGCTGATTCATCAAAAACTAGTGATTCCATAACCCTTGGTGCTGTGCTGCGTTTTACTGTGACAAGGTTGCTGAAGAGCTGGTGAAATTCAAGGAGACTTTGCATCTGAAAGGTTTCTTATTTTCAGAAATTAGCAGCTAATTTTGCTGCTAACCAAATTAGAAGCGCTGCAGCCAAGAAAGAGGGAAGGTGTGGGAGCTCACATGTGCACCTGCTGTGCAAGGCGTGCTCTGGAAAGGGGTGGTGCAGTGCTGGGGATCCACCCTGTTCCCCCAGGATCTCTGCTCACCAAGGAGGATGAGACCGTCCAGAGCCACAGCCTTCCTGGGCTCTGCTTCAGGGACACCTGTCCTTGGGGATCTGTTGTTTGCCATTTATGTTCTTCACCAAGTGCAACTGATCTCAAGCTTTGTTTATCTATTCCTGCATGGGTTACTTTGTTTTCTGTTAAACAGGAATAAACTCCTGCTCAGCTGGCAGTTGTACTTGTGGATTATTGGTACAGTGCAAAGGGCATATCTCTGAAGATTGTGAACAGTTCCAGGCAGGTTTCAAGCAGGAGAAAGTGCTCACATACACAGATGGCACATGCATGCTTAGGATCATAAATGTTTGTGCTGGGACTGTCAGCAGTGCCCATGGTCAGATCTGTTCTCACCTGCCTTTTGAAAGCCTGACGGTATCTTGGTGAATGCTGTTTTGTTTTTCTAGGARGTATCTAAAAGGATGTGGATGTGAGATAYGGTTTAGTGGTGGGCATGGCTGTGCTGAGTGGAGAGGACAGGTTATGATTCCCACTGAATTTCCTCCAGGGTAATAACTCCTGTCTGAGATTCCGGAGGTGCTGATTCCCCCATTGGGTACCATCCACTCAACTTTATGCTCCCCTGGCAGAGGCAGCCACAGCCCTCACACAATTCAGTGCCACCCAGGATCACTTGCATGCAGCAACTTTCTGCTTTCAATCCAAGGGTTGTTGAATTCCTTTAAGAGGCAAAAATACCTTGAGTTGCTTGTGGAAAACAGTTTTTTCTTTTTTTTTTTTTCAGTTGAGCATAGGCATCCTTGCTTAGATGGGTTAGCCCCATCTGTCATTGTTTTTAATGGGTTTGCCCCATCTTTGAATTTAGATGTTCCCCAAACTCTAACAATGACTCAAATGAATGGCTCCCACAGTGGGACTGGTGCRAACAAGAACTCCACAATAAGCATCCTTTTCAAAGTACTGTATGTAATGTGGGGACACTCACACACAGAAAAGAGGATGAATTCTTGTTTATTTGTTTGAATTATTTTTGTTGCATGCATGAGGCCGATGCATTGTATTTTTCCCAGAAGTCACAGAGTGGAGAAGTCACAGAAAAATAGAGAAAATTTGGGAAATTACCAGCTTCTAGCCAACCAGATGGTCCCCACTGCTGGGTGATAGGTTTGATATATCCTAGAAGATGCCAGGAAATGTGCCTCTGAGAAGACAAAGTTCCTCTGCGGAGCTGTCTCTGAAGAAGAAGCCAGGAACTGGGATTACCATTAATTCACCTTTCTGCATCCTCCTTCWGGACCAGATTCTCTCATAATTATCTGTGTGACATATTTAAGGCATTGCTGTCCAATAGCCTCTGAAACTTATAATTTATCTGGAAGAATCCATTTTCTTTGCTGCAAGAAAGGGTTTTACTCTCCAACCATCTCTCACTGTGGAAAAAC